TATATATAAATTACTTGTAAAGAATTAAAATACAACAACATCCAGACCTAAATCTTTGATCACTGCAGGATACGAAAGAAAGCTACAGTATCTCAGGGTCAACAAATGTTGGCTGATAGCTTTACTTGGTAAAATGACAAGTGAAATACTATTTCTATATATTTAGCAATGTCAGGGAAAAAAAGACAAAAACACTGTTTTAAAGCACTTGCTGTCATTTAGCACATACTTCTTATAAAATGGATAAAAACATACCAACATCAACATTTGTGGACAAAATCATTTTTAAGTGCTCAGTAAGCACATATCATAACTGTAATTTTTATACTTATTTTTAAACCCATTTATCACAAAACATCTAAAACTGACTTTAGAAGCTCATAAGTTTAGCAATAATCTTTCCTCTTATTATTTATGGTCTGATTATCTACTCATACCCAAACAATGGCACCTACTGAAGATTATTACAATACTTACCACATTACAAAAAGAATCCAGACCAATGCTATGTACATACTTAGTACACTCTGGATTAGACCAAGTAAAATTTAACAACAAGCTGAACAGCATTCTATAAAACAAAAACAAAAAGTCAGTTAGGCTAATTCTGTGTCTTTTCTATGCTGTGGACTCACAGTGAGGACAGTCTTGGAACTTGAGGATTGATCAAACCTGAACTCTATCTAAAATTTCTCTATGCTTACCTTAATAAAAGTTCTTTGGGTAACTTTTTGTTAATTAAACCTTCGTCATTGTTTGAGAAAACCTGAAAGAAAAAAAGAAATTCTGTAACTATTCTTTAATCCACATAAATAGCTGTAAATTATACCATGCAATAAATATACCACGTGATGGCAAAGACCAAAACATTTTATTGTGAAGTTTTCCTTCAATACCTCTGACAAGTTGACTAAAAACACATACAAAAGTAACAAAATAAGGAGAAAGTCCAAATAGAATGAATTAAAATGCATAATTCTAAAAATAAATCTGCCCTAAAATCTAAAACATTAAATAACAAAAAATGACAAGAAATAAATATTCCAACATATATTTTATTCCAAATGAAGTAAGAGTCAAATAATTATTTGAATGAATTTGTAACAATTAAGGTATAAAACTCAATCGAAAAAATCATTCTTAAAAACTTTCACCTTCCACACCTAAAAAAATTACATAAAAACACTGGTTTTGTAACCAACAGAAAAGCAGATGCCAATTCCTGAATATGAACTGGATTGATAGGAGAAACTCTCAAAGCTGTACCATCCGTGAGTATAAGCCCTGATCTAAGCATGTCTTCACTAATTTCTTTTTATTTACACTATGTGAAAGAGGGATGAAAATGGAGATGGCTATTCATGCCTACTCTGTTCTACACCATCAAACCCAAGCCAGAAGTAACAAAGTAAAAATCATTCATAACTGCTCAAAACTTTTAAAGTCCAAATAGGAAAACTCACTTCCTAATATATACTTGGCATTTATGTTGGAGAAACTACAGTGATTACTATACATTATAGTACAATGCAATAATCACTTAAGCAGATTCTTAAATAAACTGCCTGCTTTTGAAATCTGGCTCAATTATCAGCTGAAGATGTGACAGTGATCTGGCTGCGACATCAATCATGCCAGATTGCCAGAGTTGATTCAGCTGACCTGGCTGGCTAGGCAAGGTGTCCCCTTCCTCCCTCACCATCCCTCCCGAAGTTGCATGTTGGTCAAAGCCCCCAGTAGAAGAGGAGCACTTCCTCAATCAAGGGTTTATAAGTAGCTACAGCTCCCTGCTAGAACCTCCAAAATGGCTCTCAATTTTCAGTTGCGTGACCTGGGCAAGTTACTTCACCCTTCCATGCCTTAGTTTCCTCACTCTAAAACACAGAAATGACATCTTTCTCACAGGGCTATAACAGTCTAAGACACTGTCTTATTTCTTGTTATTGTTGTTATTGAGACAGATTACCTAACACCCAAAAAGTTTATGTTAACTCACAGTCTGTAGCTTCAAGGCAGGGTGGCATGGCAGACAAACATCACAGAGGAGAAACAATTTATGACAGGCAGAAGACAGCAAACCAAGGGACCTTAGCAGCTTTTCCTCACCCTTTTATAGTCTGTCTAGGCTACTGAGTTTAGGTTAGTGCCAAATCAGTGAACTCACTTAGTAATCACATACCCAAACAAACAGGAAGATGGTGGAGTGGTGAGCAGCGGGAAAAGAACCTCTCCGAGATTTGGTGTCCAGATACTAGAATATAGCAACGTGAGAAAGAGAAAGAGGGAAGTGGGTCCCCAGGACCCAGGAAGGATCTAAAGCAAGAATCAAAGCCCACAGGGACCACAAAGACAGAAACTTCAATGAAGAAGTAAGAGGTGGCAGGTAGTGCTTTCTCCCTGAGCCTGGACTCATTGAGTGGGAGGGGCAGCTCAAACCTGCCTGTGGTAACTACTTGCGACCCCAGAGGCCTCCACAGAGAAAGGCACCAATGGAATGGAGCAGTGGATGCAGCAGACTGTAGTGGCTGGTGAGTTATTTGGGTTCAGATATACCCCAGGAGAGGACAACTGGCCAGGAGCCATTGTGGATAGGAGCCAATTGAGCTCAGAACTCAGAGCAATTGAGTGTCAGGGTCAGGAAGCTGAGTTCAGATCTCAGGAGGCACCCAGACTGCTACAGGCTGAACAGGTCTAGTTCCAACCTCATGGCCAGAAATCAGCCTGAACTTCAATGGAAAAAAAAGTGCAGGCTCACTGGGATTACCCACTACCCCACCACAAAGCTACTGCTGCCTTGCTGGGATTAATCAAGATGGATCTGAACTCTGTCTGCCGACACTGTCTACCAGTGACAGCAGAGACACACGTTGAAGGAGACATTTTTTTCCTCTCTTTTCTCGGCTTTTTTTGTTCATTTGTTCTCGTTTGTATATGGATGTGAACACGGTTCCTAGTTTTGTTGTTCTGTTCTTGTTTTTAATTCTTTCTTCTCTCTTCCCCTCCAGTCTTCTTCACCAGTTTCCCAAAGTTTGTGTTATCCTCCTTTGTCCTCTAGCCTTACTTCTAATGTCCTCTTCTTCTTCTTCTATTTCTCTATTTTTCCCCCTAAACCCTTTTAAATTTTCTTCCCTGAGGGTAAAATTGTCATACTGAGCTTGTATTTATCGCATACCATTTTCTGGTTTGTTTTAGATTTTGTTATATAACCACAAATCTAGTTCATACATTAAAATTAAAGTGGCAAATTAATAGTTACCTCAGTTTGTCATTTTCTATGCTGTTTTTGATGCTATTGTTATTGCTGATTGTACCACATTAGCCAAAGTGACATAAATTGTTCTAAGCAGTTGTTCTGCCTGGTGTACCAAGGCTGAGATTGCCTAAGGGTCACAGTAATCACACATTCTTAATCCCAGCATCACACACTCTAGATCCAGCCACCTCTTAAAAAGACACTTAGGAAAATGCCTCAGACATAAAATATACACAACAAATAGTAACTGTCATTATTATGGAGGAGGTATAAATAATGAAGAAATTTTCACTGATAAGCAAAATTCTAAAATTAATGTGTTAAGTCATTTATATCAACTGTTAAACCTGTATGTTTAGATTCATGCAGTTAATGAAGTGCAATGTAATCTAGAATACAATTTCAGGTGTTAGATGCACAGCCTCTTCATCCCTCTCTCCAGTACCAGTTATTCCTCACTCCAGCTGAAGCCTATACATGTCGTTCAATTTAATCCCTTCTATGAATTAAAGTCCTATCCTTAAAAATATTTTAAAAAGCAAAAACTTTCTAAATTCAGCAAAGCAACCATCAATACAAAAGTACAGTAAACCAGCTACTTAGAGGCTGAGGCAGGAGGATCAAAATTTGAAACCCAGCATGGGCAACTTACCAACACCCTGTCTCAAAATTTAAAAATTTTAAAAATGTCTAGGAATGTAGCTCAGTGGTAGAGTGACGTTGGGTTAGATTCCTAGTCCAAGGAAAAGGAGAAGAAGTAGAGTAGAATGTTCTTAGGGTATGTAAAGCTCTAAAATTCACAAGACAAAATCAAGCAGACTGTGGGTCTGGGTGGGAGAGGTGAAATAAATTTTTAAAAAGGAGAATGTGAGAATACGAGGAAGAGACTTCAGAGAGCTCCGAAAATTTGGGTATTCTTTTTTTTCCTTGTTCTAAGAATTTTTCTTCATATAACATATAACAGTAAATCACTGTCAGGCATGGTGGTACAGGGCTGTAATTTCAGCACTGGAAAGGCTGAGGCGAGAAGATCACTGAACTCAGAAGTGTGAGGCCAGGCCTGGGCAGCATAGTGAGACCATCAAATTAGAAAGGGAAAAAAAGTAAAGCACTGCAATATTTTCAACACTCGTATTTTTGCAATATTCACTTTATGGGGTCTGGGGATTTAGCTCAGTGGCACAGCGCCTGCCTGGCAAGCTCAAGGTCATGAGTCCGATTCCCGGTATCTGGGAGGAAAAAAAAAAAGCCAAAAAATAAATAAATAAATAAAAAGTTTTTTTAAAAAATTCACTTTATGAAATGGTTGCAAGTACTGTTAGTCACTTTTAAAAAATTTCAGTTAAAAGGAAACACAAAAAACAAAGGTGGCATGACTGTTATTTGTGGGTAATGTTTTCTCCCTGTTATCAACAGGCCATCCATTTGGGAGATGTTTTTCTAGAGTCAAAGGGACAGAGAGAGGGAGACAAAGAGACAGCCACCATTCGTCTGTTTTTTACTAAGAAAAAAGACAGCCGAGTGTGGTGGAGCACACCTGTCATCCCAACACTTTTGGAGGGTAGGCACGAGGATCACAAATTTGAGCCCAGTCTGGGCAATGCAGGGACAGCCTATCTCAAAATTTTAAAATTCCGGGGATGCAGTTCAGTGCAAAGGCCCTAGTTTTGACATCCATACCAAAAACAGAAAAAACGAAGGAAAAGAAGACAGACCAAGCGACCAACCAAAGTCCAGTCAGGGTTCCAAATGCTTAAGTCTTCTCTCCAAAAAGCCACCTGCACTTTGCTAGTACTCTGCATTTTCAACTCATCATTTTAACCTGGCATATAAGCTCATCTCCATCAAGTTTAAAACAAAAAGGCCACCTATCTCTTAAACGTAGGCATTTCCCTATTACTTTCTCAAATATTTTATATTAGGGTTGTTTCCTCAGGGGGAAACCCAGTTCCTCTCCTCTTTCACAGTCCTGGAGGCCTCTGGAAACATCACACCTCTGACAATACCTTGAACTTTGTCTATTCAAGCCAATTCCTCAGTCAAGTCTTCAAGTGAGGCTTCCAAAACGAGCCTCGTGGCGCCAGGTGGTATGCGCACAACCTCTCCAGTTAATCGAGCAAAGGTAATGACTTAAGACGTTCAGAACGCACTAATCGCCAAGGCGCTAAATCCCTTCGTGAGGGTGCGGAACTCAGGAAAAACCCCTCCTGCTCAATGTCCCCATTTTTTACAAAGGAGGGGGTCGGGGGGTCGCTGCAAAACTACAAATATAAAATTCCACATGCTATATAGAAAGCCTATCAGAGTTATGCCTTTGAAAGAAATAGTGTGTGTATTTAAATCTATATCTGCATAAAAAACAGGATTAAGCCCACAGAGTAAACAGGAACATATAGGACATTCACATCTTTCTAGTCACACCCTCTCTGAGCTCGCCAGGGCCGAAGAGCGTCACGCCGCCGGCGCCCCCGGGGCGCGGTCCCCGCTGCGACCCGCAC